AAGGGGTATTGAGGCCAATCCCGAGAAGATCCAGGCCATCATCAACATGGAGCCCCCACGCAATGTGAAGGAAGTTCAACGGTTGACGGGCCGCTTGGCAGCCCTCAACCGCTTTCTATCTAAATCGGCGGAGAAGTCTCTACCCTTCTTCCAGATCATGAGGAAGATGGCTGGCTTTCTATGGACTCCAGAATGCAAGGGGGCTTTCGACGAGCTCAAACGGTATCTATCTTCACCCCCTGTGCTCTCCAAACCAAAGGTAGGGGAGACCCTCTATCTCTACCTTGGGGTCAGCCCGGCAGCCATCAGCTCCGTACTCATCCGGGAGGAAGACGGCATCCAACATGCCATCTTCTATGTAAGCAAGACCCTAAGGGAGGCCGAGCTCAGGTACTCCCCTGTGGAAAAAACGGTGCTAGCCATCGTTTGGACCGTCAAGAAGTTGGGCCACTACTTTCAGGCTCACCCGGTTCAGGTCCTCACTCATCAACCCCTCGGCGCCCTCATGAGGAGCCCCACCAGCTCCTCCCGCATGGTGAAATGGGCTATCTTCCTAAGCCAGTACAACATTGACATCCGTCCGAGGCCTGCCATCAAGGGCCAAGCCCTGGCGGACTTTGTGACGGAGTGTACCGCAAGGGCAGCCACGGACGGGGAGCCCTCGGCTGCCTCGGACGACTGGTGGACCCTCTACACGGACGGCTCCTCCGCGACCAAAGCATACGGGGGAGGGGTAGTCCTCATTACTCCTGAGGGCTTCAGAGCCTACTATGCAATCCGCTTCTCTTTCAAAGTCTCCAACAACGAGGCCGATTATGAGGCCCTCCTATGTGGCCTTCGGCTGGCTGCCAACATGAAGGCTCGGCAGATCCATATCAAATGCGACTCCAAGTTGGTCGTTGGCCAAATCTCCGAGGAATATGAGGCCAAGGAGGGAAGAATGAAACAGTACAAGGAAGCGGCCAAGGAGTTGCTTAAGGTATTTGAGGCACACTCTCTCACCCAAATACCGAGGGCTCAGAACTCCGAGGCCGACATACTATCTAAGCTCTCGGCCGACTCCCCCGAGCACATCTCCAAGATTGCTAAAATTGAGGAACTAAGTCTCTCAAGTATCCATGCAAGCCCCGTCATGAACATACAGCAACGCCAGGAGGACTGGATCTCGGATATCATCACCTTCATCTCCACAGGGCAGCTACCCGAGAACGAGACCCGCGCTAAACTGGCAAAGCTGAGGGCTCCTAGCTACACCTTCGAAGACGGAAGGCTCTACAAACGGTCTTACAACGGCACGCTACTCCGGTGCCTTCATCAGGATGAAGCCGAGGTCGCAATGGAGGAGATGCACAGTGGCACTTGCTCAGCTCACCAGGGACCCTTCTCCATGTTCCGAAGGCTCATTCTCCAGGGCTACTTCTGGCCAACCATGGCCAGGGATTGTGCTGACCTTGCCCGAAGGTGCGCCGCATGCCAACATTTCCAGAAAGCCCTCGGCAGGCCAGCGGTCAACTATGCCCCCATCAGCACATCTGTTCTCTTTTCTCGATGGGGGATAGACCTTGTGGGCCCTCTGTCGAGGGGTACATCCAACAACAGGTACATCATTGTGGCCATCGACTACTTTACCAAGTGGGTGGAGGCTGAGCCCCTCGCCAGTATCACAGAGGCGAAGTGTCGTCACTTCGTCCTCAAGAACATCCTCACAAGGTTTGGCGTCCCCCAGCAGATCATCTCCGACAACGGAACACAATTTGAGGCAGCCCCCTTCTGTGCCCTTCTGGAGGCATGGGGCATCAAACACACCTTCTCCTCCGTTGCCTACCCTCAAGGCAACGGGCAAGTAGAGAATGCCAACCGGACCTTGCTCGAGGGCCTCAAAAAGAAGCTGGAGGCCGAGGGCGGTGGCTGGGTGGAAGAACTCCACAACATCCTTTGGGCCTACCGCACCACCCCTCGGCGAGCAACAGGTGAAACACCCTTCTCCCTCTGCTACGGTTTTGAAGCCAAAGCTCCTACGGAAGTCACCCTTCCCACCCGAAGGGTGATCCAATATGACCCCGAGGTCAACGACAGCAACATGGCCCTCGACCTCCACCTCCTTTCAGAACGCCGGGAGCAAGCCTTCATCCGGGCAGAAAACTACCGAAGGCAAGTCAAAGGCTACATCGACGCCAAGGTTCGCACCCGAGAATTCCAAGTGGGGGACTATGTCCTCCGGAGGAGGGAAGCAAGCCAACCGACCGAGGGAGGCAAAATGGCACCAAAATTCGAAGGTCCCTACATCATAGCAGCCATCATCAAACCTGGAACTTACAAGCTCAAACTCCCCAACGGGAAAGAGGTCCCTAGGCACTGGAATGTACACCACTTAGTTAAATTTTATCAATAATGTAAGAGCGGCCAAGCCCTCATAGCTAGTGAATGTACTATCCTATGGCCCAAGGCCTCCAATTTTGAAGAATGAAGACACATTCAAGACACTAAGAACAAAACACTTATGAGCGGCCAAGCCCTCATACCAACTACAGGCCCCAGGCCTCACCTCGAGAAGAACCCCATCCGGCGTCAAGTGCCGAGGGCGGACACCACCAACACCTACGACAACAGTGAAAACACCACGTGTTTTCAATCACGACCCCTTGGTACCAAGTACCGAGGGTGGGAACTCCCATCACCGACGACAAGAAACACCAAGTGTTTCATTTCCCTTCGGCACCCAGTGCCAGGGGTACCCATCTCCACCATCATCATCGAAAAAAAAAGAAAAAAAAGAACACCAAGTGTTCCTGCACGAGACCCTTCGGCACCCAGTGCCGGGGGTACACATCTCCACCATCAACATCAAAGAGAAGAACACCAAGTGTTCCCACAGAAGACCCCTCGGTACCAAGTACCGGGGGTACACAACTCACCCATCAACGTCAAATAGGAGAAGAACACCAAGTGTCCCTACAGGATACCCCTCGGTACCAAGTACCGGGGAGCTACATATCGAAACTAACACCAAGTGTTGTTTCTAAAGCCATACCCCACGAGGACGCATATACCGAAGGCGCCACCATCGGTGCCGGCGGCACGTAGTGCCCCCGGCCATTTGCAACTAGTGTGCAAATGAAAACCCTTCCTTGAAACGCTTTCCGCGTCACTACCCCCAGGGTATGACAGGCATGAAAAATGCCCAGGATTCGACTTTCAAAAACGGAACGCTTTCCGCGTCATCACCCCAAGGGTATGACAGGCACGAGAAATGCCCAGGATTCGACTTCCAAACCGAAACGCTCCCCGCGCCACCACCCCAAGGGTGTGGCAGGCCACGGACTATGTCTAGCGCCGAGGGGACGACTTTCAAAAATGAGGCGCTTTCCGCGCCATCCCCCAAGGGGAGGCAGGTTACAGACCATCATATCTTGTACCCAGGAAACGACCCTCGAACCCCTCGGAACTCGGAAGGTTAACCCGAGGGAGGAGAGCCATTGGTGTATTCTGATGGTCTCCTGATAGGCCCAGCCTTACCAAGAAACCAAGTTTCTTGATGCCTTCCCTTCACCACCAACCAAAAAAAAAAAGAGGGGGTGAAGGGGAGTAGACTCAGCGAGAAATCAAAGAGTACACTCCAACAGATAACAACATGTCGAGGGCTCCCCACGGGAACATCTCCGGTAATTGAAGGCTCCTATTTCCCGAAGGATACTACTCAAACAAATATCATCAAGAAACAGCTGAGTCCACTGCTTGGTCACCTACGGTCACACAAACGCCGAGGGCACATACTCCTCATCGGCTTTCTTTACAACAACAGGATCCCACACTTTTCCTAAGTCCATGCTTTTGGAAAATGACAACAACCGGAGGCTAATATATCACCCGACAACCGAAGGCATCTATTACAAATCATCAAAGACCAACCGAGGGGGCTTATTCCAAAATATTTGCCCCTCGGACAGACTCCTCACTAACCGAAGGATCAACATCTACGACACACTTTGAAATTTTTCTAAGTCCCACATATTTGGCCCTCAGTCAAATACTCATACAACACAAGGGCCTCACGATCACCCGAAGGGTCCTATTCATATACCCGGAGGGATCTACATCCGGAAGCTCAACATCAATCTACGCTTAGAAAATATTCTAAGTCCTAAATGAGTAGCCCCCGGGCATCTCGCAAAAGTGACGCAGAGTCAGAGGGCACCTATCACCCGAAGGCGACACAAGGAAGCAGCACTTAGGAAAAATTCTAAGTCCTAAAGATTGGCCCCCCGGCCCAATCAATATTACAGCTAAGGAAATATGATAGCCGAATGCTATGCGATACAACAGCACTTAGAAAATTTTCTAAGTCCTACATATTTTTCCCTCGGTCAACTACTCATACATCAAGAAGGGATGCCATCGCCCGAAGGCTCCCAAGGGAAAAGCTACACTTAGAAATCTTTCTGAGTCCTACATATTTCACCCTCATCTCAACTTATGAAGGGACCTAATAGCCGAAGGCTACCTATCAATCAAAGGCTACGGTACACAAGGAATCAACACTGAGGAAAATGTTCTAAGTCCTAAAGATTGGCCCCCCGGCCTAATCAACATTTCAGTTGGGGCTCCACAGTAGCCGAAGGCTACATGACACACTACATTTACAAAAAAATTCTAAGTCCTGTATATTGGGCTCTCGGTCCAATATTCACACATCAGGAAGGAGGTTACCAGCCGAGGGCTTCCAAGGGCAAACTACGCTTAGAAATTTTTCTAAGTCCTAAGAATTGGGTTCTCAACCTAATCACCACACAGCAATTGAACTACAGACATCCGAAGGCCCTATGGTGTGCTACACTTAGAAAAACTTTCTAAGTCCTAACTATTGCTGAGCCCTCGGTTGTATATCCAGCGAAGGGTGCCCAACTACCGAAGGCTACAACTGTATTCAAACACTTAGAAAATATCCCAAGTCCTAAACATACATTCAAAAAAGGCGAAGGCATACACTCAAGAAAAAAACGACGGCATACATTCAAGGAGGAATGAATTAAAGAAAACAAGTCATATGTATACAAGGCCCGAGGGCTGACATTCGTCCATCGATCATCACAAAAAAGAGTAAGTGTAATTGTTACAATGATGGCCGAGGCCGAAAACATACAGAAGTTCATTACAAAGAGTTTTCAAAAATCAACTAAGTACAGGCTAAGACTTATCAGCCACTTCGTCGAGGGCCCCTGCGGCAGGTTTGGAGGAGATTTCTTCTTCGACGGCATCGTCCCCGACGGCAGCATCATCATCATCGCCGCCCATCATCATAGTATCATGAATCACCAGGCGCTCGTCGCCCTCAGGGAGGGGGACTCTCACATCTGGCTGCAACGGGGGGAGGCCGTACACCGAGGGGTCAAACTCCGCCAGAGGGGTGCCGAAATGCCGGGCGAGCCTCCGGTAAACCAGATGTTGGGTGAAGAACTCGCCGGCTTGATAATAGGTGTCGCCCCTCTCGTTCATACAGTCGAGCCCGGGGCCCTTCACCCACTCCTCGATCGAGGCCTTCACCACAGAGGCCACCCACTCCCTCTGGCCCTCGGCCTTCCAACCCTCGGAGATGAACCCAGCGATGGCCTCTTCCCGGGCTTTGACAACAGCTTCGGCCTTGACCTTTTCGGCGTCCTCAGCCGCTTGCTTTCTCTCCTCGGCCGCAACCCTCTCGGCCTCTGCTTTGCCCTCGGCCTTGCCGTCATCTCTGGCCTCCTTCAGCTTCAGCTCCGCTTGCCGAAGGGCGTCCTCCAGCTTGCACACCTCCCGGAGGGAAGCGTCCTTGTCATGGATCAACTCCTGCACGGACTTCTCTAGCTCGGCCTTATGACGGCGCCACTCCTCGCGCCTTCAGGCCTGCTCACCGAAGGTTATACACGCCTGTTGAATAACGGACAATGGGTTCAGACGGGCATTGGGAATATACTAAGTGTTAAGATAAAAGCAAAGTAAAAATACTTACAGCCAGAGATGATCGAAGGGCCTTGCTTTCGAGGGCGTCGTCGTCGTAGGTGGAGAGGGCTTCCTTATCCATCATCGAGGTAATCCCCCTCAGGAAAGACATCGGTTCAGCTGAACCGTGCAACACAGATGCCCCCAGAGCGAGGGAGAGCTGAATAATCTCCCGAGGCAAGTTCTCCGGGGGAAGATCTGTTTGAGCCATCGGAGTGTCAATGGCCGGGGAGTCAGCGGGGGGCTGATCATCAATTACTATGAGGGGGCCGCCATTCCAACGGTGCCCCCGGCAACCTTCTGTTTCTTGATCGGGGGCTCCACCCCCTTGCCTCCCTTCTTCTTCTTGGCGGCCACCTCGGCCTTTGGCCCCCCGGCCACAGTAGCAGGAGCAGCATCAACAGAAGGCTCCACAACCTCCTTCGGGAAAACCTCATCAATGGGCTATTGGCCCGAGGGCTCCTTTTTCTCCTTCTTCTGGGCCTGAGCCCTCTCCTTCTTCTTTTTCATTGCAAATAGAGCCTCCATACCTGCAAAACAATGAAAAGAAAAGATTAACCCGAAGGATTCATACAACAAACAACTATTGGGATGCAAAATAAGAATGCCTAAGTACAAGACTAAGGGCCCTCGTAGACTACCTCCTGCTCCCCCGAAGGCCTCAGCAAAAACGGGATACTTCTCGTCCACTTCCCCGATGAAGCGGTATCTCCGAAAGCCGAGGGCGTAGAGTTCCTTGTCGGCAGTGTAATCTTTAATAGACACTTGCTTCTTACGACCCTCCGGGATTTTGGCTATTACCAGGCCATCTTTCTCGAGAGCGGCGCTTCCAACCTTCGGATGCCGACGGAAGCGATCCCGAAGTTCCGCCGGAAATGAAATCTCAGCAACTCTGACGTAGCACCAACGCTCCTTCCAGCCCTTATTGGACGAAGGCGCCTCTGTAAATAGCTTCCACCTAGCTATCTGCTGCAGGTTGGCGAAGCCCTCAGCATTCGCGTGACCCCCTCGGCAGAGGTTGAAGCTCTGGAAGAACAAGTCCAGGCTGGGGGTCACCCCTCGGTCCCTGCAGAGGCTCAAAAAACCCGCCACGTAGGAGTGGCTATTAGGTGTCAGCTGGCAGGGGACCAAGCCAACAAACCTATGGTACTCCCGGAGGAAGGGGTGCAGAGGGAACCGAAGGCCCATGGAGACCGACAATACGTGTACTGCAATACACCCCTCGGGCGCCCGAGATAGCACATCGTCAACTCCCGGCTCGACCACCACGGCCGAGGGCCCTACGTGTAGCTGTGTGACGTAGAAATCCGCCCTGTCCGCCTTCAACTTTATCTCCAGGGCAGTAGTATTGAGCCAGGAATACCCCTCCGGCATATCTATGGGTTTCCCCTGATCGGCAGCAACAATCTTCTTCTTGGGGGCAGCTACCTTGGCCTTCTTCTTTCCGGGGGCCACCCGGATGGGAACCGCGTTCAGCGGCCGAGAGGTACTGGCCTCACCAGCACCTCGAGGGGGAAGGACAGCCACGGTCACCCTCGTCCTCTCCTTTGCTTCCTCCTCCTCTGCAACCTGCATGGCGAGGGCCAGCTCTTCGTCTTCTACCTCCTGCTCGAAGCCCTCAGCTTCAACTTCAGCTAGCAGCTCCTTCTGCACCTCTACTGCCATCGCAACGTCCTCCTGGGCCGAGGACTGTGCACTGGAGGACTCCACATCCGAAAGGACTTCATCCTCCATCGAGGGCGCCCCCGAGATGTCTTGAGAATCACTCTGGGACGACATTATGGCTCTAGCTCGAGGGCTCGTGAGAACTAAGGTTTTTCTAGAAAATTCTATCTCCTAACCTAAGGGCGCAAGGCACGGCTAATTAGAAGGAGAAGGGCAGGGGGAACTGACCTTGAGAATAGAGGATTCAACCGAGGGCTGCTGTTTCTCTCTCTAGAAATTTTGGCAGAGCTTCACTAAGGATGTTGGATGTGTGAGGAAGGAATGGCATTGGCTTGGGGTATTTATAGGCGCTGGAATCCGGGCTTGGGGCCGAAAACCGGGCCTCCGGACGGACCGTTATCATTACGCGCCGTGTTCTCGCCCAACCGGTGACGCCGCCCACGGACAGCTAACCGTCACGCGCCACGTGTACCCCCCCCCCCAACGGCTATAACCTGACGTTACATATTCCAACGGCTATATTTCCAACGGCTATATTCTGGGAGCCCCCGGATTTTCTTACTTCACTCCACTTCATCAAGGAGAGCCTCCGGGTACACTTACCTAGAGACGCCCCCGAGTTGTGCCCACACAGTACATAACAGTCGCCTTCGGGATCACTCTTTCAGAAGCCCAAGGCTTCATATCAGGCCACCCCTCAGGGATTCCCCCTCAGCACTGTAAGGGCCGGGTAGCCCCCGGGGAGTATGCCTCGTTGACAAATAGCCTGCGGAACACAGGTACTGAGAGCCCTCGGATATCCTCATCACCAACAAATCAGCAAGCACGGGCAATGATCAACTATTGCCCTCATCCATCACGCCCTCGATCCCCAGATTGAGGGGCTCCCCTTCGGCACCTCCCAGGACATCAACAGCAAGCCTCCGGCTACTCAACACATGAGCCCTCAGGACAAGGAGAGCCTTCGGCATCACCATTATTCCCCATTTTTGACCAAGGTTTCGCATTTTCGATTCATCGTTGGGGGAATTCGGTGCACTTTTTTTCCCTCATTAGGATTTTTTCCCCCAGGGTTTTTCCTAATGAGGTTTTTAACGAGGCATCCCCCCAAAATGAAACGAAAAGCGTCAGCCTTCGGCCCACAACAGCAGCGCAACTACTCTACTCCTTTTCACCACTTTACAAGTGCCTCAAGGAGTGGGGGACTGGAGGACCCCCTCGGGAAAATAACTAAATAACAAAATGGAGAAAAATTCCAACAAACGGCAAAGCAAGCCCTCGAGCCCCGACATGTGGGTAACTGAGGGACTGCCTTCGGCAGGGACATGAGAGCAACAACTCCTCACCAACTTCAGAGATTACAATGGGACAACATCAAGGGGCGAGCACAAATTACTCCTTTTTCCCTCAAGTACCTTTCGGCAAAAGGAGTGAGGGACTCCTGATGGAGTATATGGCCCGGGAACACCCGGCCCACAGACTCCTACTACTCCAGTAAAGGCCCAACAGGCCCAGAAGACCCAACGGGCCCAAATCACAGCGCCCAGAGTACCAAGCAGCCCGCAATACGCACCAGGGGTGCCTTCGGCCCCCTGGCCGAAGGCTCTAAATTCTCACAAAACGGGTTTCTCAAGCAAACTAAGAAACTGGGGGAGAAACGGCAGAAAACAGTAGCCCTCGGCACCTGGAGCCTTCGGCACTCAGGGGTCCTCGGCACTAAGAGCCCTCGGCTAGTCCTCTGCAACCGAGGGCACCTCTCCCGACATAATATCCGCGCCACATGCGTACAGATCACCGTACCCTGTACAACGTCCCATCCAACAGCCGCATTAAATGCAGCCACATGCGGCTGCCAGCGCCACCCAGTTGAGGTGACCTCTCGACCAATGGACGCCTGACACGTGTCCCTGTCCGACATTTATTGCTACTATAAATAGCACCCCATTTCCCCATTTGTAACCAAGTCAAAAAACGCTGCATACTTTCTGAATACACTTTCTCTCTCTACTTACTTGCTCTGACTTCTCTCTTACTACTCCCCATAATAACCCCTCGGATAAGCTACCCCCCGGGTACACTATCCATCAGAGAGTGTATTAATTTGAGTCTGATGTGAAAATGCTAGTGATTGGTGTACGAGGGGGACAAGAGTGCTCCTACTTTGATCTGCTGTTGTAGGATATTCGAGTTTTGTTGAAAACAAAGAGAAGGTTTAGTTTTTCTTTTTGTAGATGATCTGCGAACCGTATTGCTCATGAGCTAGCTAGGCAAGGCGTGTTACTATCAGACCAAGGTAGATGTTTTGATATTAGTCTTGATTGTATTGTAAGACAATTGGTGAATGATTTTATTGAGTAATGTTATTACTCGTATTTATTTGATTGTCAAAAAAGATCACATTTCTTGCTAATGTTTGTTTAAGTAATAATAGCAGCAAGAAGCATCAGTAAATAGGTCCTCCCTATATATAATACTCTCCCCGTTTCTTAATACTTGGTCAAGTTTGATCAGTATAAAAAATAATAAAATAAAATATGTGTGGTTAAAGTTTGTGCGATAATATAATTAACATGAATAAAAAATTCTTTAATTAAAGAGCAAATGACATATTTAATGGGACAACAAGAAACATTGCAAAGTTTGAGGGGGGTGGAGAGTAATGTGTACTATCCTTCGTATCTCATTAATTATAATATTGGAATATATACACTATTCATGTACTTTAGTTTAACTACATTTTATTTATTAATGTACGTGAATTATTATTTTTTTAAATGTTGTTAAATTCGTCTCATTACTAAGTTTTATAATCTGATTTTTATTTTATTTTTACTAATACAGAATTAAATATAATGATGGTAAAAGTTATGCGTTGGCAAACGTGAAATATTGACTGTTGCAACTAAAAAGAGATGGGAAGTATAATGTTCTGAGTTAGAAGAAGATTCCAACTCCTACACTAGTACTACGTACTTGTATTACGTACTCCCTCCGTCCCGCAATGAACTTCTCATTTCCTTAAATGACAAGTTAATCTACATCAAAACAGTGTTAAATAGTGCAAAACAATGCTAAACAGTGTCAAAACAGTGCTAAACAATGTCGAAACAGTGTCAAGAAAGTAAAATTTACCCCATGATAAGTTTATTTCCTTAATATGTGTGTAGGTTAAACTGTGAAATTTATTGTGGGAGGGAGGAAGTAATTTTTAGATGTATTTCAGCATACGTATAATGTGTATCCAAAAGTAGAGTGTCAGACAAGAAAGACCTCCATGTGCGACTTATTTTCTTGATCGATGATATCAAGAAAAACGGGGTCCACCGTCACGTGGCTGTCGACGTGGACCTTGAACCGGTGGTCCCACCACAGAAGCTTGGCCGCTCCCTCTATATCCACGGCGGCATCCAGGACCATCTCGCGCCGCGCCACGTCGGCCAAGAACTTCTTGGCGTGGTAGGCCAGCTCCACCCCGCTCAGCCGCGCCGGGAGGCGGATCATTTGGCAGGACCGCGGCGGCTGGGAACCGGCTTCCACCCGGGCCGACCCAAGGAAGGATCCGGCGTATAGGATCGACATCTCAGTTGAGGAGTAGTGGATGGAGGCAATGTTGGGGTTGGTGACGTGGACGGTGAGGACGACGTCGGCGTCGAGGACCGGGAAGTTTAGCTTGAAGGAGGTCAGGTCGATGGAGACCAGGTGGAATGTCGGGTCTCGCGGTTTACATGAGAACAGCGCTGCCGTGGCTGCGGCGGCCGCTGCGCCGATCAGGGCGGAGCTCCAGCTCCAGCCACTCTTCCCGCTCAGTTCTCTCTTTCTGCTATTATCACTGCTGCTCATTGAGTTGATTAGTTGGAAATCGGTGCGCAAGAAAATGGGAAATATCGCGCAAATTCCGTAGACCGTTTCTTTCTTTTTTTCCGTTTTTTTGATGGCTTTTGGGAAATTCTTACCACAGTCATGAATGCTTACAACTCTGTCGCCCATTTTAAAAATGGGGTATCGTACCTACTACTCACTTGATTGGTTCAAATCATTACAACATTTTTAATTTAGATTTAAATAAATCAACTACTTCATTCTGATTGGTGCATGTGGACAAAGATAGGGTACCTTAAGAATACCGAATACCGTAGAATCTACCTTGTTATTTTTATTTTTTGAGAAAATTCGCACAAAGAAGGAAAACATATACTCCAAAAAGTATCATTATAAGATTACTATTTTCATTATAATACGAGAAAAGTGTCAAATAGGTCCTCGTACTATAATAAAAACGTCAATTGAGTCCTTGTACTATTAATTTAACCAATCAGATCCCCGTACTTCTAAAAATGAGTCAATTTTCGTTTTCAGTCAGTGACTAACCGATTACTTCCGGTTGGGGCTGACGTGGCTGCTCACTTGGCTTTAATTAAAGTATTAAACTGATATGTTTAATGACATGTCATACACCACAGGTTAAAACATGGCTTCTTTCTATTCCCGTCTGCGACCATGCGAACGACAATGGAGAAGATGTTGAACCTGTGAACGCGAACTACCTCCGCCACTGAAAGAGAGTCACACATAGTCTAGGAAGGAGGAAGACGAGCTATTACTAGAACTGTCCAAGACTCGTGCACCAGGTAATTTCTCGAAAATTTGTGGCTTTTTATTGTACGTAGTTAACCCTAAAATTGTTTACTTTCACAACTTGTAGAAATTCTGCGTATTTGTTCTCTCTCGAAAGGAAATAGTAGAAATGTCTGCATCTTCTACATCTACTCGCAGAAAAATTCCGAATTTTACATTCGATTATGAGCCGGCCGTGTATTGTCATTGTGGGATGAAAGCACCGTTGTGTACTGGAAGAGAGAGTGGAAAAATGTTTTATGGGTGTCCAAATTGGAAGGTAAATGTTTTATTTTGTTTAATTATTTTGTTGTAAATTAAATTAGTTAATGTAGTATGTTTTAACGTAATTAAGTGTATTACGTTTAGGTTAGTGACATCTAACTGAACTAACATCAGGAAAACAATTTACCAAATGTGAGTATGGCCAATAAGAGTTAGTTCTAGAGAAATTTCTGGAAAAAATGCATTTATAATGTGTAAGACTCATTATACAAGTGGAAGATTAAAGACTGACAATGGAATGACTGTTGTATTAGTTTCTATTGTATTTTGGAATGACTGTTGGGTACTGTTTTTTATGATAGGTGGAAGGATGTGGTTATTTTGTATGGAAGGATGTCATGGACGCAAACAGGAATAGGATTCATGGTGAAGGAGTGTACCGAAATACTGATGAAATGCACAAGAAGATTTCTGATCTTGCTCAGCAGATGGCTATTGTCCAGAAGGATGTTACATGTGTAAGAGACCTACTTCTAAACAGTCATGTGCTTGCTGAACAGAAGATTGAAAAGAAGAAGAAAAAGAACAAGTATAGGTCATTAGGACAATTTGGTTTTGGTTTCACCTTAGGTTGTATTGCTATGGTGTATTTCAATGCCAATAATGGTTTCTGCTCTTATTAAAAGTTTCTTTTGTAAACAATAGTTCATGTCTATGTGAACATGCCTTGATGGGCTCTTGGTGTTGTAGTATTTATTGGACAACGTGCTTTGTTATGCCCCTCCTGCTTACAAACTGAACATGTCATGACTCTTCCTTTCCTTGAAATTTGTGAACCAGAGGGTGGAGCTTCTGTTTCTTCCCTTATTCTTTTCTTTTTGGGTCTGCCACTCATTTTTTTGGGTATCGGAGGCAGGAGGTCTTCATATTCCATTCTTGGCCATAGTAACTGCCCATTAATCGGCTGCAAAGTATACGAATAGGTCTTCTGGTACATCTCCTTTGAGTAGCACTTGTCTACAAAGTGTTCAGGATCATGTCCTTGCGCACTACTACATTTTTAGACCTAATGTAACATTAATGATGTAACATATCTATAATAGTGTTACCTATTTATCTGATGTAACACTTTTTAGACCTAGTGTAACACTTTCTAGAAGTATAAGTGTTACATTAGGTCAAAAAAGTGTTACATTAGAGAAATAGGTAACACTATTATAGATATGTTACATCTCTAATGTTACATTAGGTCTAAAAATGTAATAGTGTTGGTCAAAGATGGCACATATGGCATGTGCACAAGGGATACCAGATAGATCCCATCTTCTGCATGAGCAACACCTCCCCTGAATGCTGACTTTGAATTGTTGCCGACCCTTCTTTATCTCGTAGCCATCATCCCCATTAAAATCTACATGCCAACCTTGACTAGCAACGATATTTTTGTTTAGCTTCTTCATTATGATAGGCCCATACGTGCCTGTCATTAATTTAGATTTGCAAGAATTAGTGAACTAAAAACACCATTTAACGAAGTCACTGTATAAAGTTTTGTCCTATGAAGAATTTAAGTCTATTCTCGTGGAAGATTAAAAAATGAAATTATTTACCTCGCCATTTGGTAACATACTTCCTCTTTTTGGCTATTCTCTTCATCGTTGCCACTCTAATATCTTCTAACATTGGTATAATGGGCTTCTCTCTACACTTTATCAAAGTGCTATTAAATGCTTCTGACAAATTATTTTCCACGCTATCACACTTCACACTTGTTCTAAAGTAGGCCTTGCAGAATAATTTCAATTTGGATTTACACAAGTCTGCCGCAGCCTCTTTATCCGCTTTATGCAATTCTTCTAATGTTGCTTCTAGTTGAGCCTGAAATGTAGACTTCGCGCACTGCCAGAAGAGTGTCTTCAGAGCCATACCCCCGTGTTTCTTGCTCCAATTGGCGTGGATGTGTCTAGCACAATTCCTGTGCTCAGCTTCGGGGAACACATTGGCAATTGCGTTTGACAACCCCTGCATTAAAGGAGATCTAGGGTTAGTTGGTTATGAAGTGGACAGTCCCTGCAAAAATATTCATGAGTTGAATATGTGTGTGTGTAACTATACAACATTGAACTCATATATACCTTCTGTTGATCGCTTATTAATGTCCACATGTCACTGTTTTCCACCTGTAAATCTATCTTCAACAACTCCAAAAACCAAGACCAAGA